GACAGTTTTGATGTCTCTTTTACACTTGCCTATAAGCCCCATGAAGGCCAGAGTGTGCTTGTCTTGGTTACCAGCATACCCCTTGTGCCCAGTATTGATGATCCATAGATTCAATGAATGAACATAGTCTTTCCCTGGTCTGGGTTAATTATTCCACCATCTGTTTGTTCTTTGCTTTTCTCATGCATTTATTTTAAAATAATTTTGATACAATCTTAAAAAGTCCTAAGTGGAACAAAGGAAAATTAAGCAGATTAAATATTGACAAAGATACTTTTCAAATATTATACAGATTAGGCTTAAAAAATTGAAATTCTATTCAGATAAAACTAAGCTTGTTAAAGTAAACGACTAGAATAACTTTAGTGAATAGGCAGAGTTTGTCTTTTGCCTTTAAGCAGGAGGCAAATACCCAGGTTTTTAGATAGTTGTATTTTTTCCCACTGGAATGTTAATATTGTCTTGTTTTAGATTTCTGCGTCTTTTCCATAACTTCAGTTGTCCACTGACTCCAGTAAGCTGTTTTATTCCTCTCCTTGTCTTTTTTTAGAATATTTTTTGAAATTTGTTCTAATTAGTTCTATATGACAGTAGAATGCATTTTGAAACATCATACATAAGTGGAGTATTACTTCTCATTCTTCAGGTTGTACATGATGTAGAATTACATCAGTCATGTAATCATATCTGCACATAGGTCCGATTCATTTTACCATCCTTCTTACCCCCATCCCCCACCCTCCCTCTATTCCCTTCTGTCTAATTCATAGTATTCTTACCTAGCCTCCGCCTGCCCATCCCTGCCCGCCATTGTGAATTAGCATCTGCATATCAGAGAAATTATTCAGCCTTTGATTTTTGTGATTGACTTATTTCACTTAGCATAATTAGCTCAATCCATTTACCAGCAAATACCATCATTTCATTCTTCTTTAAGGCTGAGTAATATTCCATTATGTATATATACTACATTTTTTTAATCCATTCATCTGGACACCTAGGTTGGTTCCATAGTTTAGCTATTGTGAGTTGAGCTGTTATAAATATTGATGTTGCTGTGTCATTGTTGTATGTTGCTTTTAAGTCCTTTGGATAGAAACTGAGGAGTAGGATAGCTGGGTCAAATGGTGGTTCCAGTCCAAGTTTTCTGAGAAATCTCCATGCTGCTTTCTGTAATGGTTGCACCAATTTGCAGTTCTGCCAGAAATAAATAGGTGTACCTTTTTTTCCCCCACATCCTTGTCAATGTTTTTATTACTTGTATTCTTTTTTTAAGATTTTTAAAATTGTAGTTGGTATAATATCTTTATTTATTTTTATGTGGCACTGAGGATCGAACTCAGTACCCCACATGTGCAAGGCGAGTACTCTACCACTGAGCTACAGCCCCAGCCCCCTACTTGTATTCTTGTTAATTGCTATTCTGATTGGAGTTGGATGAAATCTTAGTGTAGTTTTTATTTGCATTTATCTGCTAGAGATCCCTGTAAGTCTTTCCTCTGGCTCTGTGTGTGTGTGTGTGTGTGTGTGTGTGTGTGTGTGCGCACTTGATTCTTTTGTAATTTCAACTGCTTGTCTGAAATCTATTTAGAACTATCTAAGAGACAATACTTATTTGATGCTATTCAAAGAAAGATTGGATTTCATATTTATCTTAGGTTCTCCTAGTTTAATAAATAAAAAGATATTTGGACAAAAGAGATTTCTAAAAATGATAGTAATTCTGATGTGGAGTGCTTTTGTTACTCTTCTAAGGGAGTGCATCTTCAGTCAATACTCTCCCACAACAGTCTTTCTTTGTGTACTTTCCACTAAGCTTGGTCACATAAAAGCAGTTATCTCACATCTTAATATTGTTGTTCCTAGCCTTATCCTGGACTCCTTGCCCTAGTTTTTTTATGGTTGACTTGCTTTCATCTTTAGAGATTAATTTCCCTGTTCATGTCTTTACTTTAGTCCTGTGATTCATAACTACTCTGATAATGTCATTCTCTGTCTACAATGTTTGGATATACTGTATTTTCACTCTCTGTTTCTAAGACATCTTTGATTACCCTTTATGAATATGTAACTTGGTATTGTCTGGTTCTTGATAGTCCCTGAAGTATTCTTTGCCAATGATGAAATTTAAGCTTTCAGGTAAAATAAAAAATTTGGTAAACTTATATTCATTATCATCAACATGACAATTTATCAATTTTTAGAGTATTCTTCTGATGAGATTAGTGATATTATTAATGATATGATTTTTGATATTATATGATGTAATATGCCAACATTTAGAAAATTTGAAGAACTCTTTCCAAATAACTAATGTGTGCTCCTAGAGGATTGTGCATGGGTTAAAAATACATTCAAAGTGCTAAATGGACTGAAAGATTTTAATATAATAAAGAACAGAAAGTTCATTGATACCTTTTTTGGTTTTCATATGCAATTAACCTGTATTAGCCTATTACCGGCTGAATTTTGGTATAGGATCAAAGATATGTACAATGACCTGAACAGGCTATTAAAATACTATTTGCTTTTCCAACTAAATATCTGTGTGAAACCAGATTGTCTTCAATCAAAACAATATATCACGACAGATTAAATGCAGAGTCAGATAAATAAATTTGGCTGCCTTTTATGAAGCCAGAGCTTTAGGAGTTCTCAAGAATATAAAAAAAAAAGCTAGACACAGAAAGACAAGTATTACATGTTCTCTCTCATATATGGAAATTGGAAAAAGAATGTGTTGACGTAAAAGTGGAATAGAGATTACTCAGGATTGGGTAGAAGAGGAGGTTAGAGGCCAAGAATGAAAGAAGGGTAGGTGGATCATTGTAAGCTGTATGTTTGTAGGGAAATGCCAAAATGAATCCTATTTGATATGTACAATTAATGTGTAGTAATAAAAAAAATAGGAGGGGGAAAGGGGCAGAAGGAGAGAGAGAAGCCAAAGACTAAAAGTGTATGATAGGGTTCTTCAACTTGAGATCTGTGGTTCTGTATCAGTAAACATGGAATTTTGTACATTTTTATTCCTGAGTGAAAACATCCATAGCTTGAAACAAATTCTAGAAGCGGTTTTTGACCCCTTAAAATGCTAAGATGTAAAACTGTTTCTTGTATCTACTCTTTTCTATCTGACCTGAAGAATGAAGAGTAGTCTACCTAATCTTCAGATTGTCTATAATTTTTGTGGTCTCCACCATTCTATTTGTATGTTTATTTTGAATAATGTTGAATTTAGTAGGAACAACAACAAACGACGTAAAACAATGCTACCCTTCTCACTATTTTTTTGGGGAAATATAGTTACTTGTAATAAAAATATTTTATTTGTGTTTATAATATAATAGATTCATCATTATAATAATTAATTTAGAAATAAATGTTTACAAGTTTAGTTTTAAAAATTTTTTAGTCATTGATGAACCATTATTCTATCTATCTATCTATCTATCTATTTATTTATTTATATGTGGTGCTGAGAATTGAACCCAGTGCCTCATACATGCTTAGGCAAAGCATTTTACCATTCAGCTACAACCCCAGAACCAAGTTTAGTCTTAATTTGTAATATTTTCAATAAGGTAAATACCAATATACATAATCCATTAAACAAAAGCTTTTGGGGATCCTCAATAATTTTTAACAACGTAAAGGGATTCTGAGATTTTAAAAAAAAGCTTAAAAACTGATGAAAGAGAGGGAAGTCAAAGGCTTTTTTTAGATGTACAATTGATTCTCAATTTTTATGGATCCTGTATTTGTAAATTTACCTATTTGCTACAGTTTATTTGTAACCTCAAAATCAATGCTTGTAGCACTTTCATGATTATTTCTGGATATGCACAGGCACAGAGAGCAGTAAAAAATTTGAGTTACTCCATCTTCATGTTCCCAGGTAAGACTATACAAGGCCTTCCTGTTTCAGCTGTCATACTGTTAACAAATGCCCTTTTTGTGGCCTACATATTGCCATACATTTTGTATTTTTGTGTTTCCTTTTTTTTTTCTTTTTGGTCATTTTCCAAATGTAGTCCTGAAGTGCTATCTAGTGTTCCTAAGATAAGATGTGCCTTAGCTGAGAAAATGTGTGTATTAGATAAGCTTCATTTAGGCATGGGTTATAATAATGTTGGCTATTTGTTTAATTTTAATGAATCAACAATATATATATTAAGTAAGGCATGTTGAAACAGAAACACATAACACAAGACTAGGAATTGATTGGTTAATGAAAATGTGGACAGAGGCTGGAGGAAGTCAATTATGCATTTCCCATAGGAACATTGGTTCAGTATTTGCTAATTTACTGTTTGCAGCGACTTTATACAATTTATAAATTTTTTTTTTTAGAACAACTCAGCAAAATAAAATTCCGGTTTATTGTTGGACAACATTGTTTCATCACATACATCAAACAGGCCAAAAAAATAAACAGCAACTTCATAGACAAAAAAAAGAAACCTTTTTATCTTTGGCCTTTTTAACCATCTCATACAAACCAACTACTTATAGTACAGCTAAAGTACATACACAAAAAAAGTTACTAGAATGCTCGGAATAAGATTGTTTTTTTGTTGTTGTTTTTGCTTTTTTTTACAAGGTTTTTTTTCTCTTTGAGATTATAATGAACATGGTCACACCACAAGTAAAGTCAGAAGTAGGACAGAGAACGCTCCAAAGGCTGGTTTGGTCATCCCAGATCATTAAAAATGGCTGACCCCTAACAATATGTACAAAAACATAAAATGTAAATAAAAAATACAAACAAATTTTTCTTTTTTAAAGTACTTTTAAGAAAAAAAGCAGGGCCTTGGAAGTTTTGGTTATTTTTTCCTCCCCTGTTGCAAATTCACGTTGTGGTTTTGGTTGGGTGGTGAAGAGCGCAAGTCATCTGCGGGTGGCGCAAGTCATCTGCGGGCGAGCCTCTCGAAGGTGACCACGTTTAGATTCTGAGACGGGAAGTGGAGGGTGAATAGGTCACGGTGGCCTTTTATTTTTAGTTTAACTTTTCCTTTTTTGCTGTCTAGTCATCCTCATCGGTCTTCTGCTTCTTGGTATCAACATCATCATCCTCGTCATCTTCAGCTGCCCGTTTGCCTGTAGCTGCCTCAGCCTCCTCATCTTCATCTTCATCCTCTTCCTCGCCATCACCTTCCTCCTCCTCCTCCTCCTCCTCACCACCCTCTTCCTCTTCTTCATCTACCTCATTGTCAGCCTCCTGCTCCCCATTTTCCTCATTAGCATTCCCATTAGCAGGGGCGTCTCTTCCATTCTCTGCCTCCTCCACAACTTCCTTCTTCTTTAAGTCCTTGGTGGTGATTTCAGAGCTAGTGTCCACGGCCGCCTCTGACATGGAACGCCGGTGATCCGATGCAGTGGGTTAAAAAGGAAACTAGAGTTCAGGGACTCTGGCGATAAAGCTGCCTGAGTCCGCGGTGGAGGAGCAGGTGCGCGGCGGAGGTGGTTGTGGCGAGTGGGGAGCTGGACCCAGGAACAATGCAAAGATGGCTTTTCAGAGCAGCCAGTGGGGCTACAATTTATAAATTTTCTATGTCCTGCTCTACCAATAGAATTACAATGAGAATCATCTATACTTATGTTGTCAGATAAAAGCAGTGCAGGTTATGGTCAGATAGTGTATACTCAGAGATTGATGAGCTGAAAGAAAGTTTAATAACAGTGGACTCTGGAGCTTTGGTATTTGAGTTTTGGAAGTGATAAGTAAGGAGAAGAGTTGAGGTTGGCAAGGATAGACTTATGCTTACTCAGGGAATGGAAGAGTTGGAGTTAGGGAAAGTTTGGAGATCTAGCTAGTTGTTTTGGATTTGTTCTTAGACATAGTCAACTTCAAATTTAGGAACTACAATAGAAGGTAATTTTCTATATTTAGCAACTGGGTCAGAAATTCATTTTTCTTGAGGAGCAATAGAGCATCTCATTTCAGGAAACATGATCCCTGCTGACCTTTGTTAATCCAGCTATCCAAATAGTATGTTATTTAATTATAGTATAATTTTAGGAAGAAATGATAATTTTCTCCTTTCCCACCCATCCCACCAGAAAATCTCTCCATCTTTTTTTTTTTTTTTTTTTTTTTTTTTTTTTTTACTATTGTGCCAATAAACAATGGGAGGTGTTTATTCTTTTTGCTGTTTTTGGTAACCCATCTTCCTACTGATAGGTTGGTGCCTGTCTGCCTGACTGCTTTCCTCCCTCCCTCAGTTCCTCTTTCCCCCCTTCCCCCTTCCTTTTTTTGTGGTGCTGAGGATCCCATCCAGAGCCTTAGAAATAACAGGCAAATGTTCTACCACTGAGTTACACCTGTAGCCCTGAGAGATTACTAGTGGAGTTTCTGTTTTACAAGACATGCTGCAGTGAACAGGAAAGCATATTCTTGGCTTGTAAGGTGCTTTCACCTTTTGTTCCTTTAGATTTTTTTCAATAAATATCCTAAAATTTATCTTTTAATTAAACATTTTCATATTATTGTGCAAAAAGTTTTATGTGCTCCTTCAATAAGAAGTCAATAGAGAAAATTTCTAAATTTCAAAATAATTTAGGTATTAATAGTGCTATTTAAGGTTTACTTTATGAAATATTTAGTTATCTAAATTTGTATTTGTTAACTTATTGTTAATTTGCTTGTTATCAAAATTATTTATTCATACATAATGTTTTACCAATTTATTTAGGTTTTCACTAAGTAAGATGAGAAAATACTCATATATAGGCCTTTCTTTGTTTCTTTTCTTTTCCTTCCCTCCCTCCCTTCCTCCCTCCCTCCCTTCCTTCCTTCCTTCCTTCCTTCCTTCCTTCCTTCCTTCCTTCCTTCCTTCCTTCCTTCCTTCCTCTCTCTCTCTCTCTCTCTCTTTCTCTCTCTCTCTCTGGTGGTACACTTGCTTAATAATGAACTGGATTGAATTGTACACTTTTAAAAATTTTCTTTCTTGCTGTGCTGGGGATTGCCAGGCAAACACTGAGCCACATCCCTAGTCCTAATGAACTGGGTTGAAAAGCCTTTGGTGAATTACCAAGTGGTGATTTATCTGTGCTTATAAATGTAAATCTGATTCTGATAAACTTAAATTTGAGTTCAATTTACACTTGAAAAAGTTTTTTATGTAAGTACTGATTCTTGCTCTTTTCTAAAAATATTTAAAGAACCCCCAAAACAAAAAAGCCTATCCAGTCATTTTTCAAAGATACAGCTTAAGCATTTTCTCAAGTGGGATTATTTTATAACTGTATCACTAATTTGTGGCTGTTGGAAATACTTTTTTTTTTTTTTTACTGGTAAAGAATTAAAAAAAGGCTTATGTTTAATATGAATCTTACTATTTTGTTCACTAAAAGAGCACAGTTATTTCCATAACATAGTTATATGTATGAAGCATTAAACCAGGAAACCATTTGGATCTGCAAAGAATAAAAAAAAAAACAATTTGGTAGATATTAAATTAAGTTATAAATTCTGGTAGTGCAAAATTATCAAATGGATAACATGTTTATTTTCTTAGCTCAGCATTCTAATAAAATAGGTCAAAATTATTGGTAGGAAAGAAGTGCTAATTAATAGAGCATAATAACCTGACCACATTTTCTTAACTACAGTGAATTTTGAGGTACATATAATGATCTAGCTCACTTATAGCCTGAGAGAACACACATAAAGGCACAGTTCCATGCCTTTCTGCTCTCGTGCATACGGCAGCCAAATGCCATCAGCTTTTTTCCTTTCTGGCATTGCACATTATTTTCTGTTGGCCTTGTTTCCTCTTATGTGCCTGTTTTCTGCTTTCCCTTCTGGCTCTGGCTCTGCTTAGCCTCCTGCTTCAGGTTCTACTTGTTTTCCTGGCTCTGACTGTGTTTATCTTTCACTATCTGCTTCCTTTGTCAGCTCAGTAGGTCCCACACCTCCTGCCTCTTTGCCTACTTAATGTTCATTTCCTTTTTTCTGCTTCATGTTATTGCTTCCCTTCTGGCCCTAATAAACCTTCTTCTCCTATGTTCTGCTCTACCAATAGAATTACAATGATTTGGAACCTACAGGGAGACTCAACAGTGTTATGTATCAGATGGATAAGAGGATTTGAATAAGAGGTGACTATAAAGACACCTCATGTTATTAATTTTCATAATAAAAATGTTGGCTTTGCCTATAAGTAATTTCATGGATGCTTTTATACCTTGGTGGGATGACCAAGGTGGGATCTTTGTTTTTTGCTTATTATCTTTACCATCTGTGTATCTGGTAGCTAAATCGTACTGATATTACAATCCACATAGAAAGCCTACTCTTAACCACCTGAGCCTTGAATATTTTGTTCTTCCAATTTTTACCAAGACCTAGGGAATAAGCGACATATTAAAACTCTTCTCTTTTTGTTCTTCGAGAATTTCCTTTTAATAATAAAAATAACTACTATTGTACTAACAATTGTTGAGTGCTTAATATGTGAACCAAGATTTATTTATCTTTGTTATTTTTATTTATTCAAATATCCACTTGATAAAATAGATCTTTTAATCCTCATTTTTAGCAATGAAGAAATTCAGGCTCAGAGAGAGGAGTATCACCCACAGGTAGTTAGTTAGTGGTGAAGTTAGGATTCAAATCTAGCATGTGTGACTCCAGAGCTTGTATTCTTATGATGGTGATTACAGCCATACTCTTTCTTCGTAAATTTCCAAAATTGATTTTTATAATGATATCACCAGAAACTATATGTTTAAATATATCTCTCTACCTTTCATAAATAGGACTCAATATTATATGTTCTTAATTGTAGAAATATGACAGCTTTGTCATATTTCTTTGTGTTTTAGAATACTGTTATTGAGGATATTGCTTACTATGTTGCCCACTTGCCCTTTCTAAAAAGACCTTTGTGACAAATTCTTAACAGAAATTAGAAAATTTTAACTTTACTGGAAAATTGACATTTTAGGGAGAATTTTGTATGATATTACATTTCTCTTAAATATCCAATACTAATTACTTAATAGTTACCATATTAAGCTTTTATTTAGTGTATCCTAGATATTGTGTCAAGCATTTTCTCTGTATTATCTCAATTCATACAACAATCTCAAGTATTCTGTTTTATGGTAAAATCTCTGAGGCTTGAGTATTAAGTAACTTGGCCCAGTGATCTTGAAATGGCATTGACGGATTAGAATTCAGGCATTTTTGGCTTCAAATACACTGTTTTTGGCATAATACCACATGAATTAGTATATATTTTATTCCTTGCAACCACTTCACAAGGCCAATATTATTACCATTATTATTTACTTTTAAAAGATGAAATTAAAGTTAAATTTCTTACCTGAGATCACAAAACTAGAAACCACGGAACTACGCTTTCTACTTGGAACTAAGTGATCCCAAGGCCTATACTTCTTTCATTATATTTTATGGTAAACCACTTCAAAGAATTTTGGTTTTAAACAAATTCAATATCTTTTTTTAAAAACCAGTATAAATAAGTGCACAGCAGAAAAGTAATATATGAGGAAATATCTTCACACATGATTAATACTTGTTTGATTAATTTAAAAGGTATTATTATAATTATTATTATAATTATTATATTTCTTTTGTGAAGTATAGAAGGACATTAAAATGTGGGTCTAAAGTACTAGACATTTTGGTCTCTTTTCATTCAACTGCCTTCCCCTCTAACTATAGGCACCATTAGATTTACTTTTTGTTTAAAGGTATTGGGGATTGAACCTAGGACTTCATGCATGCTTAGGCAAGCACCATACCACTGAGCTACATCCCTTAGCACTTTCAAAATTTTATTTTGGACAAGGTATCACTAAGTTTGCCCAGGCTAGCCTTGAACTTGCAATTCTCTTCCCCAGCTTCCTGAGTAGCTGAGGTTATAGGCAAGTGTTACTGGTTATTATGGTTTATTTTATTTCATTACTTATTTTAAAGTAATAATTTAAAATATTGTTATGTCACTTTGATGTTCCTAATATAGCTCACCTAGAAATCCAAGCTTGTATTAGTATAGCTGTTCTTACTTAAAATTAGCTTGCAGTGAATTTAGCAGCCTGGGGAGCTCAAGATGACAGTGAATCAGGTGTCTCGATGTTATCAAGATGAGAGTGAATCGTATTATTGTCATTAGTAAACAAGTCCTAGTCAAGGAGACAACTTAACTACTTAGCCATATCTATTATGCTTGGTAATATGATGGCTGAGAGTCTTGCTCCTTTTTAGTTGACATTAGAAGAATATAATTATAGAAAAAGTGGATACTAGACACACTTTCTCATGTGCTGTAACTTCTTCACTTAATTTAGATCCAACAGAGATGGATAAACTCTCTCTCTTTCTCTCTGTCTCTGTGTATG